TTGGGAATCTAATTTCACATTTTTTTTATTAAACACAAAAAGATGAAAAAGTAGAGATTTCTTGCTTTTGCAATAAAATACCTAAATCTTTTAGATCATCTAACAAATATCATTTTAGACATTTAGTCAATGATGACTTCATTTATTGAGGGAAATAGATATAAATCAATGAATAAAACACTGTTAGTGGCAACAACTGCCATAAAATGTTAGCAATAACAAAAACTTGTTTAAATTGCTGTGAAGGAATTTTGACCAACCCTCACCAAGCCAATGCTTTTGTTCAGACATGTTTGGAAAAATATGAGATTTTTACCCCATGTAAACCATCCGTGTTTTGCAGAATTTCCTGCAGCTTCCTTAGTGTAACATTCAACCTCTGGGCTCCCACTAACAGTAGTTTCTGCTATCATTGTTGTCTCATCTTTTTCCAAATTATTGGTGACAGCCTATATGACAGCATGCACTCCCCCCCCCCTCCTGATATATACCGTTTTGCAATGAGGTCCTATTGATCATTTGCAAACTATGAGTATGACTAAAGGATGTAAAGAGGAAAAGTTAGATAAATCCTTCTTGGATAGTTGAATTGTATTTCTTGTTCTCCTTTACATCATAAAAGCATAGGATCTTCACAGAGGCATGTATGATGCATTTTAAAGCATAACTGAACCCTGGCTGTGGTTAGTCAGCTTTTTTTTTTAAGTCTAAAGTTTCAGAACTATGTTTCCTATGATCCTGAAATGTGAATGTGTTATTACCTTCAAGCATCAGTTAAATGAGTTGAATCAAAATTTGAGCAGTACGAGCAGCTCTTACCTTCATTCCTTGCGGTAGTCCCTTTGTCTCTCTAACTCAGACGAAGAAATCACAAGTTGCTTTGCCTCTAATGTTGATAATTACATGAACAATTGCTGAATATACTGCAGGAAGTATCACAGGTGGAGACTGAGCTAAGATCCCGAGCGACAGCCTACAACAGCCTGAAGGCCTCCTTGGAAAGCCTTGAACTCAATCTAAAGTGAGTGGCATGCATATTACGTACCTAATGAGCAGTATAAGATGCCGAAGTGACTTCTGGGTGTTTTCAGTGGAAATTTGCAAACTCGCAGTCTGAATGATGTTTTGAGGAAAGACGACCTGGTTGTCTCTGAGTATCTAACAACTCTTTTGGTGGTGGTGAGCAGGTTGGTACGCTAGCAACTTTTTCTGTTTGTATTCGTTCCGGGATTTTCTGCAAATGTTGAACCGTTTCTAATTGTGTCACCCACCTCAGAGAAAAATATCTGCGGTGGGAGAAAAGCTACGAATCCCTGTCGGAGTTTGTGGTTCCGCGGTCGAGCAGGTGAGTTTCAGCGCAAGTGCAACAACGAGCTCTAAAACTCCCGTCGTCAGCCTCCAGGAGGTCAGAATGGGAGCAGGTGTTAAATTACCTGCAGAAAGTAAGAGTCTGCTTGGATCAGCAGCAGGGAGGGAATATCTGTATTCCAAGCACATAATGGCACCAGATGAAGGTCTTAATAATTAAAAACTTTCTATCAGTTCAAAACACAAAGCATCAGCAGAGTCTCCAGTTCAAACGAATTGAACAAGAAGTATCTAGGATCTTATTATCTCATTTTAATCGGTTGGTGGCGTCAGAAAGAGGTGCTTTCTCAGCATGCCATTCAGGCAAGAACCGCATTAATTTTGTAAGTTTGCCTTACATTTCTCCAACAGTTCGCTAACATTTAACCAGCTGCACTACTTTTACAGTTTTTAAAGACAAGTCTGGACTTTTGACTAAGCCAATCTAATCCTAAGCCCCAAGTCTTTTGCAGTCCATATCCCAGAAATGTTTCTGGGATAGAAACGCTTTTGCAATGCATAACAGGATAGTTCAAAGCTTTTCATCAACAATATTATAAGCAGATATCTTAAGATACAGTTTCCCCCCATGTTGTCCTTTGCTGCTGCATTTCTGCACGCTTCCTTCTGACACTCAGGAAGATTTTTGAGGATGGAGACGGGGGAATCTTCACGGTGACGCTCTTCAAGCGAGCTGTGTGTAAATTCAAAGCCAAAGCTCAGGAGAGCAAGTAAGCAGGAGGAATTTCCCGAGAACTCCCCCATTGGGAGACTCATCCATGATAGCTGTGTCGATTACCATAATGTAGTCTGTGATTCATGCAGGTTCATTGTGCGGGACTACAGCTTTGATGAGGAGGAGAGGAAGCAGCAGGAGATCATGAAGCTCTCCGTTCATAAAAAGGATCAGTATGTGAGTCGGGTGCTGGGCTTTACCCTCAAGATTTCTGAGATGATGTGTGTTTTAACACACTCCCCACTTTCTCCACAGGGGATCTTTGTGCGTTGGCTGAAGGTGAATTTCACTCAGGTGTTCATCGCCTGGATTCACTTGAAAGCCTTGAGAGTTTTTGTGGAATCAGTACTCAGGTGAGTCTGAATGCTGGCAACCATTTTCTCTCCTTACTAACCAACAGCTGCAGTATTTTAATGGGCCTTCTGCTGATGTCTTTGGACAGGTATGGACTACCTGTGAACTATCAGGCTTTACTCCTGGAAACGGACAGGAAGCGCTCAAAGAAGCTGAAGGAGGAACTTTCCTCACTGTTTGTACATTTGGACCCCACTGCCAGCATGAAGGAGGTCAGAAACTCTTCTGTTAAATATTTTATCTTTCTTTTTTTTAAAATCGCAAATACAGTTTTCTTTATTATATTTTATTTAAAAAATGAGACATCAAAAATTATTTATATCATTCTCAATAATCAATGGACAATTTTTATTAGCTTGGCAGAAATCAAACGGTTAAATGGGTGACCTACTTTTTGTTATGTTTCCAGTTATTTTGATGAGTTATAATTGGTGATTAGCTCTTTGTCTTGGCGTCTGGTAGAGCGTTTTTGTTGGCATCAAGTCAGAAATATGTTGGTAAAACTGCTAAGAAGACAACTTTATTCCTTAATTTGATAGATGAAGAATCTTATGGGCTTAGATTCAGTAATGTAATTATTACAATTGTATGTTTATTATTATAATTGCAAGCTAATTTGTAGACAGGTAAAGAAAGAGTTGAGGCCCAGGATATAAAATAACATGTAACAAGATACACGTCACAAGCTAGCATTGGGAAAAGGTTGATATTGTTGTCAGAAACTCAAGTTGATAAACTCCAGACAAATACTCCGAACGAAAATTCAAATTCAGGCGACGAAGCGGCAGAAACTGCTTGAAGTTGCCCCCTTTATCATACATGACTTGGCTCAGAATATTTTCATTGCATCCTAATTAAGTCATAATTTAAACAGTAAATTTAAATTTGCATCTTGTATAAACACTCTGGTGGTGCAAAGATCAATTTCACGCTCGAGTCTTTGAGTCTGTGATAGTTTTCTGTTATCTCCCAAACAGGTGAGCTGTGACATCCCGGGGCTCTGCCAGCAGGAGTACTCCTCCTACATCTGCTTCCACATCGGCACCAGCATGCTGGAGATTAGCGAGCCGTCAACAACATGACCCGACAGACAAGCAGCACTTAATCGACCTCAGGCAGTCATAACACTGAAAGGCAGCATTACTAAAAAAAAGCTACCTGTCTCAGAACGACATCTTGCACATAATAATGAGCTGTGTATATAAAACCCTCATCTTTTTTTTTGGAGGAAAGAAGTGTAAATATTATCTTCAAGGAATGGATGTCACATTCTTGTCACAAGAATGCTTAACTTTGTAAATAACTGAATGTTTTCTAGGGATCTGAAGCTTTCCGATTGGCACCTCGGGCAAAGTTGTTTAAAAAGCCTTGAAGTGAAATTAAGCTTTTTATTGCAGTTGCATAAACTTACACTGAAAAATAATAATAATAAAGAAAACATACTTCACACTTTAATTTGAGTTAAATTTGTTCACTGGGTTCAAAAAGTTCCTCATTAAAATCTTTTTTTGTTTCTTTTATACACCATTGGTTCCGCTCTTGCTGTCACCCTGCTCCTCACGCTTTGTACGACCCTATTTTACCAATTGCACAGCCCTTAGGATAGGCCCTCAGCATCACAGCCCTCCACTGTACTTACATGAGATTCTTTCCCACACATTCAACTTTTGTTTTAAGCCACACCCTATAGTGTCGTGTTTGTTCTCACTCATCCTTAGTATCATCAGGCCAAAGCATGTTGTTAAATCTAGACCTCTTGTGGGTGCATCAAACTGCACACCATTATGTTTGTGACATAGACAAAAGGCTTGTTACTATAGCATCAAAAGCTAACAACTGGCTGACATTGCAGCTATGACAGACCCTGATCAGGAGATTCAATTCAATATGTTACTTTTAGATTTGAATTAGCAAAAGAGCTTTGGAAATCACGTGTCATTTTCCTTCCACTTCACTCTTATGCACAGCTTTGGGTTTTATCAATCACATAAAACCCAAGTGTGGAGGTTGTGATATAACATGTTGATATCAACATGTTGGGGACGTTAACATTTTTGCAAGATGGAGCAAATGTATAAATCTAAAATGTATTAAAATAAACTTGTTATATATGATTGCTGTACAGTTCCCAGTCAGCAGAGAGCACTCTCTCTGTTGTTGTGCAAAGCAACCAGTTTCTCTAATATCTCGTCCATCTATGTGTTAAAACACAAACTATAATCCCTAATAAAAATAAAAAATAAAAAAACGTTTTGACTTATTCTTCCTTTGCGCAGAATATGGCATATTTTCTCCTCAGTGACTTAAAGATGCGCAACATGGCTCTCATCACCACATGGCTCTGATTACCCAGTGCATAAAATATGCAACAGTTTAAAGCGTTTTACATGGAAACGGCGTGGTTCGGTTCATTTGCGTCTGACCACAATCCGATTGCAAAGAGAAAAATGTGGCTGGAAGTGGATATTGTGATTGTTACCTTCTGGTGTCAGCGTGCGCGTGCTTGTGCACGTGGGTCTGTTAAATATGAGACGGTGAGAGAGAGAGAGAGAGAGAGAGAGAGAGAGAGAGTGCTAAGAAGAGCTTGACACTCAAGCTGTGCCTTTCAGGACACGAAACAGTCTGAAACACATCAACTTTACGCGGCGAGCGTCAAGAATATGGGCGTCAGTTGTAGTTAGTCCGCTGTTCGCGTACATTTTGTAGTTTAAACACTTGATCTCTTCATTAAAATGTGGGCAGTTCCGAAACCAAAATATAGAAATGCTTTGAGCGAGGAAGGGGACATCACTGTGAACATCGGTGGAGTGAGAGTGGTGCTGTTCGGGGACGATCTGAAGCGCTACCCGGAGAGCAGGCTGGCGGAGCTGTCCAACTGCTCAGCCCACAACCCAGAACTTATTTCCACCCTCTGTGATGACTTCGACCCGGGCAGGAACGAGTTTTACTTTGATCGGGATCCCGATTCCTTCAAGTGCATCATAGATGTGTATTACTTCGACGAAATCCACATAAAAAGCGGGATTTGCCCCATCTGCTTTATCAAGGAGATGGAGTTCTGGAAGATAGACCAGAGTGTTTTGGATGAGTGCTGCAAAAGTTACCTGAGCGAGAAGGAGGAAGAGCTGAAAGAGATCGCAAACAAAGTGAAAGCGATTTTGGAGGATCTGGATGTGGATCAGTGCATCACCCGCACGCAGAGGTGCCAGAAGTACCTGTGGAGACTGATGGAGAAGCCGGATTCCTCCTTGGCGGCGCGCATCATCGCCATCGCTTCCTTTCTCTCCATCCTGGTGTCAGCCGTGGTGATGTGTGTGAGCACCATCCCGGAGCTGCAGGTGAAAAATGCAGAGGGGAAGCTGGTGGAACACCCGACCATGGAGGCGATCGAGACTGTGTGCATGCTGTGGTTCACGACTGAGTTCGTGCTGCGCCTCGCCTCGTCTCCGAACAAAGTGCGCTTTGCGCTCTCCATCATGAACATCATAGACTTCATGGCCATCATGCCTTTCTACGTGGTCCTGTCCCTCACTTTGCTCGGCACCACGTCCATGATGGAGCTGGTGAACGTCCAGCAGGCTGTCCAGGCGCTGCGCATCATGCGCATCGCGCGTATTTTCAAGCTGGCGCGCCACTCCTCCGGCCTGCAGACCCTGACCTACGCGCTGAAGCGGAGTCTCAAGGAACTGGGGCTGCTCCTAATGTACATGGGCGTGGGGATCTTCGTGTTCTCCGCGCTGGCCTACACCATGGAGCAAAGCCACCCGGAGACGCTCTTCAGGAGCATCCCGCAGTCTTTCTGGTGGGCCATCATCACCATGACCACGGTGGGCTACGGGGACATCTACCCCAAAACTACCCTGGGCAAGTGCAACGCGGCGGTCAGCTTTCTGTGCGGTGTGATCGCCATCGCTCTGCCCATCCACCCGATCATCAATAACTTTGTTGTGTTCTACAACAAGCAGAAAGTGCTGGAGACCGCGGCGAAGCACGAAGTGGAGCTGATGGAGCTGAAGTCCGGCGGACAGGCGCGCAAAAAGGGTCAAGAATGAAAACAATCAGAACCAGTAGGGGGAAAAAAACGTGTCAACTGACATCAGAGGGGTAAAGTGACAATGAAAAGGGTTTTTTAAAAAAAAGACTTTTAGGCACTTGATGACTTTGGGGAAACCTGTACATAGAGCTGTCATTGTGGCCTTTCCTCCGCATGTGTTGTTTTCTATGGGCGACATGTGATGTGTTGCTTTTGTAGCATGTGAAGGCATAAATAAAAAGATTTCAGACTTGCATTTAAATGCAAAATAAAGACGCGAATCTCTCCAGTTCATGTTTTGAGAGTTTCTAATGAATGAGAAAATTTGTTTTACACTTTATGAACCCAAACTCTATCAAAACGATACAAACAGGTGAGCTTAGTCACCTTTTCCTACCCGTTCAATTAGTACTTTTTCAAACAGATCGCTCCTATTCACCTATAGGTGAATTACAGATACATATTTGGTCCAGAGGGAGTTATGCAAAGTTGAGCCATTGATCCCACGGCGCTTTGATGTTTTTGCCTGTGATGAGTTGATTTCACAGGGTCACAAAGTGAAAGTGCAAGCCATTGTTCCACAATGTTCTGTAATAGCGAAGTCATCAAACTGTCACAGAATATATTTAGTTAACTTATGATACAGTTACTACTGTTAGAAAATAAGCAGTTTAAAATTACTTCAGTCTACAAAGTGCAACACGAACGTAAATAATCGTCTCGATTCTACGCAACAAATATGTGAAAATGATTGATAAACAAGAGAGGTTTGCTTTACATAACTTAAGACAAAGCAGAACAAAATAAAATATTTTACAGCAGTTCAAACCTTTTGGGTTGAAGCAGAGAAAATACGGTATTTTGTAACCCTTTCTCTCCCTTTGAACTGTCAATTTAAATTCACATCAGGGACAACTAATTGGGTATCATCACCTTTAGAGCAATAATATTTTCCTCTAAAATATATAAATAAGGAAGCGCGGGAGAACTATAGTTCCTTGCAGCAAGAGATTGTTAAGGTCCGGGGCTCAAGATCCACTTAGTTTAATTGGTGACTTTAAATTTCCTTGAACATATATGTGTGTGTGCATGTGTGTGTGTGTACGCATGGTTGTCTTTGTGTCTCTGTGCTGCCCTGTGATGCACTAGTGACATTTCCTTGGTGATTTTTAAGTAAATAAATAAAATCAAAATTGAGGAAAAATGACAGTAGCAGAGAGACTGCAGGAGGGAAAAAGCTTTCACTGAAATTGTGCTAATGTGTAAAAAAAGAAGAAGAAGAAAATGACTGCAGCATTCAAATTAAATGCAGGTTATTTTCCTGCTCTCAAACTAACAGGGATCCATATTTTTTAATCTGCGAGATGGGATTCCTACTGCTTTACTATGTCAACTTGATACTTTTCAATATTTAATTTTCCAGAGCTTTTTGCTCTTTGTTGCTCATTTTTAAAGAATTAACACAAAAGTTCATATGTGCTTTTTGGATGAAAGGTTGGATTAATTTTTATTTATTTATTTTTTCTTACACTTGACCAGACCCAGTAAAAAATAGCATCAAAAATAATAGCTCAAACCTCAGACACTTTCAGAAGAGGAAATAATTCCTCTGAATTTCTAATTTGTTTGTGAAATTCATTGATATGATTCAAATTAGCTTGACCATACAAACATGCCAATTGAAGATCTGGCTACAGATAATTATTTTAGAGAAACTTTCCCTTCCTTTCATGAAGGATAGTCTAAGAGAAAACTAACGATAAAGCGAAATTTCAATAATAATTTATATAATTACCAGGGAGTTAAGGTTCAAATGTTAAACTTTATGGACTACATATCACATATTATAAGCAAGGATCACACTACAACAAGTTGAGATTAAAGGCTATACAGAAAAAGCAGTCCAGAGGATGTTCAGTGCAGGAAGTGGTTTAAAAGTTTACACCGACTCGGCTGGAGAGATTGCTGCTGGAAAAGTGGTTCTTACACAGACCATGGAGAAAGAAGGATGCAGAAAATGAAAGAATAAAATAAGAGATAAAGAGCCGACTGGATCAGGATGAAGGAGGGAAATGTCAAAAAGAGGGTGATCAACTCAAAAAGGGTGTGAACTTGGTACGAATGTTCGAGCGGTTGGGTGCTTCAGAAGTTCACCCAATAAATTGATACAGTTACACAATAAGAAACCACAGTCATGGTGTGAATGTGCAACAGTGGTTCTCTATCCAGCAAGCACACTGGACAAATCTTATGACTTGCAAACATATTCATACCTCTTGGTCTTTTCCACATTTCCAGATTTAGGTTTTTGCCATAGTGTTTTGTATGAAGGTCAGAAAGGTAATTATGTGTCTTGTTTGACCAGTGTGGAAACAGTTATGTTCCTATAGGTCTATTCTTATATTTTTGAATCTAACAGTTGTTGTAATGTCAGAACCTACCTTTATTTCTCTTACATACATCCTGTGTATTTTTTTGAAGCTGTTGTGAAGTTCAGGTAAAAATTATTTTTATCTGCTGTCTAGTTTAGCAGATTTTTCACATTCGTCTCGTGAGTGGGACGCAAACAGAGAACAATAAGGCTCAATGTTCAAAAGGAGCTAAATAATCATGCTGTTGATGAAATAAAGCTGAAACACACAAGATTCTTCCTTTTTTCCGGCATTTATTTATTAAACATATTAACAACTTCTTACGCTGTGTGCATATTCAACAGTGGGTCATTATTTTTTACACTGTGGATATGTTTTTAGCTCAGGAGGGTTGGTAATGAAAACCAGATTGAGTGATTAGTCAGATGGAAATACAGAGATTGGGTGAGTCATGCACAGACAAGGGTCAGCTTTTCCTTGATGAATGGTAGGCTGTTTGATGCATCCACATCTTTTCTCTCACTGTCTCTGTTTTTCTGCGTGTTTCTCTGCCTTTCTCTGCGTCAAACTCGACTCTAGGCAGAGGTCTGTGAGAAACTGCCGTCCCCAGCAGGAACACACTTCAAAGTAAGGCTACGTACGCCCACGCACACTCTGAAGACTGGAAAACACACCACTCCACCCGCTGCTTCTCTCCTTATCACTCCTTCGTCCAGCCTCCACCTCCTCATCCTCCGTCTCAGATGATGATCTGCCAGCCTTGCTGGCTGAGAGAGACAGATCAGGCGCTGCGATATGTAAAGTGTTCGTGCTGTCATATTTTCAGGGAGCGCAGCTTCGGCTCCAAAAATCAGAAAAATGTGTTTTGCGCTCTGAAGGTCGAAATGGAAGGAGCGAATGCTTGGCTGCCTATCGACATCCGGGTGTGAAACATTTGGTGAAGTTTGAAGGGAAACTGAGACAATTTGGATGATGCTGACTTCAGCCAAATATAGCACTTCATATGTTATGCATCAGTAATCAATCCAGGTATGACTCAGCGTTTCTGCAGCTAGATGATCACGCAGGTGGAGATTAGAAACGGTTTGTCCGACTCCGTAATGATCCTTGAGAAGAGTGAACAGATCTCAACAGCTGGTGGGAAACATAAAAACATAAGTTTAGGAATTGAGATAAGGAGGCAACTCACTTAGATTTAAGTCCAGACTTTGAGTAGGCCACTCTGGAACTTTTGTATTTGTTTTGTTTTTTGACAGGTGGACTTGCTACTGAACTTTGAATATGTCTTGCTAAGTAACTGAAGTCTGCTGCTCAAGCATAAGATCAGAATATAATGGCTGGACATTTAGCTCCAGGGTTTTCTGTTGAGAGCAGATTTTTATAGTTTCATCAATCACAGCAAAGTCCTGAAATGGCAAAACACCCCCAGATCTTAATACTGACATATTTAAGTATGATGTATTTAGTCTTAAGTAAAAACAAGCTTGTTACCTTTTCGTTACCATGGAAATGCTTCTTTTTTTAGGTTTTGAATAAAGAGAAAATCAAACCACCTTCTCAGATGAGATTTAAAAAGTTTTTTGTTTTTTCAGAAACTTTTGATGCCCTAATCCCAAACCAGTTCACAATCTTTCTTTCAACATTCCAGGTGAAAAAAAAAGCATTTTAAAATTAGTTAGTATTTAACAAATTTATGTAATGACAGAAATATTGCAATGTAACTTAATTAAGGGCTGTAGAACTTACATAATTCAAACATGTTTTTCATGATTATAATCTTTTTTGTTTGTCCTGGTAAAGTGTAAAGTAATTGCTAAAAGTAGTTTCATTACTTACACAGCTTATTTATTGAAGTGGTACGTTGTAACTTTTTTTTTTTTTTTTTTGCTTGTTGCAGCAGACACAAAACAAATTGTAGAAAAGGAAAAATGCCACTGCATTGTGAGAACTACTCAGCAACGGACTGCTGCATGGCACTGAACAGAGAGAATCCTCATCTGACAGATGGAGAAGTAGAGCAGAATGGCCAACTCAGGAATTCAAAAATCAGCAATGTGATGAAAGTTTTGTGCTGAAGCTCATTTAATAATTCACAACATGCAGGATGTTGAAACATCTTTGCATAGTGCACAAAGACCCAACATATCTTAGATACTTTAGTTGTTTCTGATTGAATGTAAGCAAAGTGTTTTGTTTCCGGTGTATTAATGCCTCTTCCCATAAAGCGGCATTATTTGTTTCCCAGTCTTTAAGGTTTTATGGTTTGCAATTCTATTAGTTGATAGTGTAGATTGTAACTCTTTTTTCTTTCATACTTTCAGTGTGTTCCTTGATTTGTTTTAGTCTTGTTTTCTGCCCCCCAACACTTCTAGCCCTGGGTTCTGCTCATCCCGCCTGAAGGTTGTCAGCTTTCGTTCTCTGTTTAACGAGTCTTGCATTGTAAGAACAAGTGTGGCTAGAAATAAACACCTGTGGTCAGATCTGGTGGATGCCTGTTATTGTCAGATATGAAAATTGACATTATCTCACATAACAAACACAAACCTCAGTGAAGTCAACTGTGTTTTTATGTGATAGAGGAATACAAATAAATTATTTTAAACCTCTTTACGTTGACATTCATAAACAAATTCAACCGATTTCCTGTTAGACACCTAACTAGTCAACAGAGTCTAATTTCATTACTTTTTATTTAGTCCTGAAGATTTGTTAGAGAACATCAG